GCGCTGTGCAGACAGTATAAGGCCTCTGCTCGGACCGGCCCTCGGGCGCTGTGCAGACAGTATAAGGCCTCTGCTCGGACCGGCCCTCGGGCGCTCCCTCAGCATCCCTCTCACTCCCCCTTCACCAGGTGCAGGTGACCCAGAGGCATTTGCAAGGCACCCAGGAGCAACCAGACCCACGGCCAGCCTTGCTAACCTACCAGGGACTCCTCCAAACTCCACGTCTTTCCTCTGTGGGCTGGGTGTCACTTTGAAGGTTTTGAGCAAGTCGGGTTCTTTTGAAACAAGCTTTTCTTCCTTAGAACTGGCTTCTTTTGCTTGCACCTCTTCTCTCCTCAGACGAAGGTTATATTGTGAAGATGTACAGCTACTTTCTTGTGACAAAATCAATCTCTCCTAAATAAAAAATAAAAAGCATTAAATATCTATAGCCAAGAATTGTCAGCCAGGCACCATGGCTCACGCCTGTAATCCTAACTACTCAGGAGGCTGAGATCTAAGGATCACGGTTCAAAGCCAGCCTGGGCAGGAAAGTCCATGAAACTCTTATCTCCAGTGAACCATCAGAAAAATGGAAGTGGCACTGTGGCTCAAGTGGTAGAGCGCTAGCCTTGGGCTGAAGAGCTGAGGGACAGTGCCCAGGCCCAGAGTTCAGGCCCCACGACCAGACCCGGAAAAAAAAAAAAAAAAAGAAAGAAAGAAAACAATGACTCAAGATGAAAGAGCGCTGTTGTTTCCTACCTGGGAGTTTTTATGAAGAATGTCATTGCACTCCCCGTGTTCCCGCTCTCCATTGTAGATGGTGACACTGTTTCCAAATGGCTTCTAAATTGAATATAGCATGTTAGTCCAAAGAACTGTAACTCATTAAAAAGAAACACAACAGTAACAAATTACAACTATGATATCCAACAATAAAGCAAAGCTCAAGACTTTCACAGCCTTAATTCTAACTAATTCCACTAAAGCAAATTTGCACCAGAAGACCACGGCACTTGGGCTTACCAAGTTACCTTGCTGGTAAGAGATCAACTCAGAGACAAATGTTAAAAGTCACAGTAACAAGTAAAATGTAAATAAAAACAATGAGCTTTAAAAACCTCCAAACACTCTGGTAAAAAAAAGGAAAATAAAATAAAAATGAACATTTATACACTACTGATAATTGGCATAACCTTTCTTTTTTGTCTGTTGTGGGGCCTGAACTCTGGTCCTTGGTGCTGTCCCTCAGCTCTTCAGCTCAAGGCTAGCGCTCTACCATTTAAGCCACGGCGCCACTTCCGGCTTTTTCTGCTTATGTAGTGCTGAGGAATTGAACCCAGGGTCTCATGCATCCATGGCAAGCACTCTACCACTGAGTCCCCTTTCCAGACCTGGTAAAAACTTCTTTATCACAATCTGATAATATATAAAAGGCATCTAGTTTGTGCTATACATCTGACCTTGCAATCTCATTTGTGAGAATTTATCCCAAGGAGATAAATGGATTGTATAAAAATACTTCCTTAGAAAAACACATATAATGTTGAGGATTTAGAAGGAAAAACACTACAAGAGCTAACTTAATAACTGTACATCTCTATAATTTAGGACATATAGTATATGATACAACAAAACTGTAGAAAAATATACCATATACACTCCTAGTTTTAAAATTAAGTAGTTTGACTACAAAACAGTATACATGCAGTCCATTATTTTTAAGATTATTAAAAGCTGATGGATGCCAGTGGCTCATGCCTGTAATCTAACCCATTTAGGAGGCTGAGATCTAAGGACCACCATTCAAAGCCAACCTGGGCAGAAAAGTCCGTGAGACTCTCATCTCCAATCAACCACCCAAAAAGCTGAAGTGGAGCTATAGCTCAACTGGTAGAGTGCTAACCTTGAGCAAGAGCTCAGGGACAGCGCTCAGGCCAAGTTCAAGCCCCAGCACATACACCAAAGAAATTATTAAAAGCCACAGATAGCCAACTGCTGGTGGCTCATCCCTGTAATCCTGGCTACTCAGGAGGCTGAGGATTACAATTCAAAACTTGCCCAAGAAGAAAAATCCATAAGACTTTTTCTCCAATTAACTACCAAAATGGTAGAAGTGGGGCTATAGCTCAAGTGGTAGAGTGCTGTCCTTGAGCAAAAAAGCTGAGAGACAGTGCTCAGGCCCTGAGTTTAAGCCCCGGTACCAGTACCACCAAAAAAAAAAAAAAGGCAATGTATATTTGTATGCACATTTTATCCATAGAAGAAGAGATACAATTATGTGACCAGAACACAAGGTAATCCTAATTCTTTTCTTTGGAAAGCAGTCAGTCTAAGAACTCTTGTGTGCTATAACACACCCCCTCATACTTCCCATCATGCTTTTTTAAAGTAATTCCATTAAACTGCCATTTCTAAACGGGGGTTCAATGCTAAAAACAGAGTTAGTTACATAAGTCAGGCAAAGAATACATTTCCTTTTGGACAATGTCACCTCTTCCCTTGCTCTCTCTCAGTTTTCCCCTCCCATCCCCCCACAAGTTGTATAGTTCATTTTCAGCACCTTGTCCAGTGAGTACCACGGCTTCATTTGTTCACCCTTTGTCCCTCCATTTCTATGCCTCCCCTTACACTCCCAAAGACAGATAAATGAAAGAACAAGACAAACAACAAAAAGAGCAAAAAAGGAAAAAACCTTGTTTCCATTTCCTGGAGATCATTTTGACCAGTATGATTTTGTATGATCAGATGCACACAGGCATAGTGCCTTCTTGTTCCTCTCCAGAGAACAATCTTAAGACCACACTATTTAACAGCACGTCAGTAACTTAAGGACATTCTTTTTTCTGATGTTGAAAAGAACTCTACTTGCTACTCCACTTTTAATAAAATCTCCCAAAGTCATTACATATTTAATGTCTGACACGTTAACATAATTAAGTGTAAATGGTTTGAATGAACGTTTATATATAGCAAAGAATGTCTTACACAGACAAAATACCAGATAAGGATACAGTACCAGTACAAGCGGTGTCAATTTAACCTCCAGAATCTGACCCATCGTTTCCTTAAAGTCAGCTTGGTAGGAAGCAGAAGCCGACCTTCTGGAACCTTTGGGCTGTCTGCCAGGGGATCTGGAGCGTGACCTGGACCAGCTGCCACGGCTTCGGCCCCGGCCCCCTCGGCGTCTGGAGGGTGAGCTGGAAGTTGAGCCACTTTTCCTTTGCTTAAAGGATGTTAAAAGCTGGAAAGGGAGAAAGCATCAAAGAGCTCACCACAAATCACAACACCTGGAGACAAAGTCAAGCTAGACAAGGACAATCTCTAAAACCATCATGGAAACCACAAGGCCTGAGAATAACACGGGCCAATGAGAAATGCTGCCACCGTGATGATCCTACCTCTAATCAATGCGGCCTTTTGACCCCCATTGTATGAATCAAACACGACACTTCTAATGACATGTACAAGAAGAGTTAAAACTAATGTTAGTTAAAACAGATACTATTACTAACATCATTTTGTTGAGATTAGACTTTGAATGGGGCACATGATCAAGCATGACAATGCTGACTATAGAACAGTATGCATATATTCATTCAAAGATACATGCAACCAATAAAGAAAGTGACCCACATTTTGCAAGTCTGAGTTACCTGGCTCTATCTGTGCCAATCCCGTGGATTCCTACCCCTTCATTTCACTGCCTTTAGGGACCCAGTGCTGGGGAAGGCACTGATAAATTATACCCCAGCCAAACACCACCCACTCATTCTTTTGTGTGTAGCCTCAAGCTCACCACTTTTTTTTTTTTAACAAATCTTTAAATGACTGCAAACAAAACCAAAACTATCGATCTATCGATCTATCGATCTATCTATCTATCTATCTATCTATCTATCTATCTATCTATCTATCTATCTTTTTTTGTCAGTCGTGGGGCCTGAACTCTGGGTCCTGTCCCTCAGCTCTTCAGCTCAAGGCTAGAGCTCTACCACTTGAGCCACAGCACCACTTCCAGCTTTTTCTGCTTATGTGGTGCTGAGGAATCAAACCCAGAGCCTCATGCATGCGAGGAAAGCACTCTACCACTGAGCCACCTTCCCAGCCCCCCAAAACAATATTTCTTGACAAAATTACCTGAAATTCAGGCCAGCAGTGATGGCTTGCGCCTGTAATCTTAGCTACTCAAAAGGCTGAGTTCTGAGAAAAAGCTGAGATCTGAGGACTGAAGTTCATAGCCAGCCCGGGAAAAAAGTCCCCAATGAACCACCAGAAAACCAGAAGTGGAGCTATGGCTCAAAGTGGTAGAATGTTAGCAGCTCAGGGACAGCACCCAGGCCCTGGATTCAAGACCCACAACCAATAACTCGCCCCTTCCTCCAAAAAAGTTGCCTGAAATTCAAATCTCACTGTTCATGAAGTTTTATTAGAACCTAGCTAGGTCCCTTCCCTACCTGGGGCTGCCCCAGCACCACAGAAGCCACATGGACCACAGAGCTAAAATATTTACTAGAGTGTACTACATGTGATCCAGGCCTGGGTCCCCAATTATTTGTTGCAGATAAGCAACAGGTACCAAAACTAAAGAATGCTTTGGAAAGTTTTAAAAAAGGATTGTACAGCTGGATCAGAGGTTCTCAAACCCAGAGGTTTGGAGCTGTGGGCGATATTCAGGTCTGCTGTCAAAGTCTGAGTTGAAGTCCAAACTCCTGAACACAGAATATCAGCACCAGTTCCAGCGGGACACCTGCTGGCCCCCCATCTACTCTGCTGCCACTGGCTGTGTTCCCCTTGCCCCCAAGCCTTAGAAGCTGCCCCTGCATCACTGTCATTTTCCCATCTGCCCTTACCACTTGGCTCCTACATCACCATCTGTGGAAACACCTTAAAACCTGGGTCCTCAGGTAGGGAAGGTGGCTCAGTGGTGGGAGTGCTGGCCCAGCATGAATGAGGCCCTAGGTTCCATTCCTCAGTACTATATACACAAAACAGGCCAGAAGTGGTGCTGTGGCTCAAGTAGTAGTGCTAACCTTGAGCAAAAGAAGCTCAGGGACAGTGCCTAAGCCCTGAGTTCAAGCCCCAGGACTGACAAAAACAAAACAAAACAGGGCCCCCCCTTGCTACCCAGCTATGCCAATACCACCACCATCAGATCCTCGCTCTTCCTGTGAGTCTCTGTCAACTATACCTCCTGCCTGACTCACACCTTCCCAGAGCAGAAGACAGCATGTACCCACAATGGGAGTGGACCCACCTACACCTCTTAGCGAGTCCAAGCTTAGAAACTGCATCTACAGACCTAGAGTTGTCTTTTGCACTGCAAACGCACCCAGTGAACCAAAGGAGCACTTACTTACCTTGATATCATTCTCTTTCAATTCAAGTTCGGTTCCATCTTTGTATTTTACCGTGTAGAGATGTGACTTTTGGTCGTAGCTCAGAACCTCTACTTCATAATAAAGTGAACTTCCTGGCCACCGACCTCTCACCACTTCACCATCTGCAAATTTCCTACTTGGCATTTTCTAGAGTTAGTCTGAACAATTTTAAAGAAAAAAAAAAAGTTAAGACCTACGCTTATGTGTATTCCAGAGATCAGTCATCAAGAAGCATCTTCCAGATGTGTGAGATGGTCACAATTTTAGGCCAGGAAGCCTTCCCCAAAAGTGGCATGCAACTTAAAGATGACAACCCCGAAGCCCAAGGTGAGCACTGCGTCCACCTGTCTGACTCAAAGGCACAGACCTGATGCCCGAGTGCAGACAACACAGGCAGCTCTTCCAGCACCCAGGGGTCTCACGTGGCGTCACCTCAGCCACTGTGGGACAGGTAACTAACACTGAGAATTAACTACAAGGCAGACCAGACGCCCACTTGTACCATGCAAAATGCAGCCCACCTAAAATGGTCAAAAATCAGATTATAATCTCACAAAATACATTTTTCTTGGGGGATAGGGGTAGGTTGTGGGGCTTGAACTCTAGGCCTGGGCACTGTCCCTGAGCTCTTCAGCTCAAGGCCACAGCACCAGTTGCAGCTTTTTCTGCTTAGGTGGTGCTGAGGAATCGAACCAGGGCCTCATGCATGTAAGGCAAGCACTCTACCACTGAGCCACCTTCCCAGCCCAAAAAATACATTTTTGAGGGGTTTTTTTTGGGGGGGAGGGGTCCAATCGTGGGCCTGAACTCTGGGCCTGGGTGCTGTCCCTCAGCTCTTCAGCTCAAGGCTAGCACTCTACAAAATACATTTTTATTTGTAAATTTTTGTGTTGCTTCCTGAGAGATTTAAAAATATACTTAAGGGGGCTGGGAAGGTGGCTCAGTGGTAGAGTGCTTGCCTCACATGCATGAGGCCCTGGGTTCAATTCCTCAGCACCACCTAAGTAGAAAAAGCTGAAAGTGGTGATGTGGCTTAAGTGGTAGAGAACTAGCCTTGAGCTGAAGAGCTAAGGGACAGTGCCCAGGCCCAGAGTTCAGGCCCCACAACCAGCCAAAAAAAAAAAAAAAAAATATATATATATATATATATAAGTTTTTAATTAATTACCTTGTTGAAAATAATAAACTAGGAAACAAACTGGAAAAAAGAAGGATATACCATCATCAATATCAAGAAAAATAATTTCAAATCTGTAATGAATAATAAAACTGAGTTTATTACATAAAGTTTCAATTCTTGAGCCCAAAAATTGCATACGAACTATTCACAATAACCAAGGTATAGAAACAGCCCAGAGGCCCCACAATGAGTACACCCAAAAAATATGGTACCTATACACAATGGAATTTTATGCAGCTATTAGAAAGAATAATGTCATTTGCAGGCAAGTGGATGGAACTAGAACAAATCGTATTATGTGAGGTAACCCAAGATCAGAGAGACAAACGGTGCATGTTCTTCCTGACGTGTGGAAAATTAGGCCTAAAATACACTGAGATATAATCAATTATACAGGATTCTAGATATTCACACAGTGAGACCAAAAGAGGATGTTCTTAAGAGAACGGGCCATGCCTAAGGGCCTCTTCACGTTTATATAAAATAATACACATACTGAAACAAACTCCAAGGTATGGAAACAGACTTTTGGTTAGTTTTTATTTTTTGGTGATTCTGTCTTCTTTTCCTTATGTATGGCGATTCTCATGGATAGCTTTGGGGGTGGGGGAGGGTACAAACGAGGGAAAGGGTGAAAAAGTGGTGGTGGAGCTCCCTGGGCACTGCTGGAAGTGGGTGGAGACAGGAGGGAGGGGCTGGGGGCGAGGGAGGGAACAGAAGACTCTGTAGAAAGAGAATAATGCACGCATCACCTGACTCACGTAATTGTAACCCCCTGTACATCACCTCTATAATAACAAACTTAAATAAAGATTTGCATAGCAGGGACCCCAGGCCAGCATGTGCCTGGCCTCACTCCCAGCTCTCCTTCCTCAGCCTAGAGCAGATACCCACTCCATTAACATTCCCATACACTGTCTCAGAACTGCCTGGTGCACACTGCAGGACGCCTCAACCTTCATGATACCAACTGCCTGAGGGCTGAGGCAGGAAGACCACCCACCAGCTCAGGGCCAGCCAGCCAAAGTAAGCAAGGGGCGCAAGTGCTATTAAACAGCATGGTCTTAAAAATGATCATGTTGCCGGGCACTGGTGGCTCACGCTGGTCATCCTAGCTACTCAGGAGGCTGAGAGCTGAGGATCGCGGTTCAAAACCAGCCCAGGCAGGAAAGACCGTGAGACTCCTATCTCCAATAAACCACCAGAAAACTGGAAGTGGTGCTGTAGCTCAAGTGGTAGAGTGCTCACCTTGAGCTGAAGAGCTGAGGACAGTGTACAGGCCCAGAGTTCAAGCCCCATGACCAACAAAAAAAAATA